ATCCAGGTGAGACCAGAAGTTTAACAGTCCAGAACAGTGAAACAAGATGCTTTAAAGTTAGTTTAACAATCAGAGAAAAGGTGATGATTAACAAAGATGGCCAGAAAATTGGCAGTTTACCTGCAGAAATTTTTGCAGGGACAATCCTCTTTTGAAATTTTCCCATCTTAGTAAAAAACTTTTCTCCCACTTTTTTACTTTACTTCCCCCCCCCCCCCCATTTTTCCAGGTGTGTGTGTGGGGGGGAATTAAATTGGCAGAAAATAGGATTTTCTCCACTTTCTTACTCATTGACTGTTTCCCAATTGAAAAAGTCAGTGTTACTTTGTGCCTAAATGAAAGTATTTTATATATACACTGTTAATTTCTTTTTTCTTTCCCCCCTTTTCTAGGGGATTTTATTTTTGTCAAGGAAGGGGTTTTTTTGAGAGGGGGGGAAAACATCTTTTTTTTTTTTTTTTGTACACAGCTTCTCTTTTGGGACAAACTTCTTTTCTGAAAAGCTTTTAAACATGAGAACTGGTCAAAACATTAAACGTGACTTTTACTGAGGCCTGTTCCTTTCTCTTCCCTGAAAATAGGGTAATATGTTTAAGCAGAGTCAGGATGAGCTCTACCCTGACATCTGGTGGTGAATTGTGGCAAGTTGTGGAAAAGAACTTCAGGGGCTGATCTTGTTTGCATAGGCACACCCACCCGACCGAGCATGAGCCTACAGCAGCCCAATGGTCACTTTGGCTGCTGTGGGATCCCCAGTTTCTCTGTTATTGGGGCAGGAAGAATAAAGTGGTGTTACCCTGATTATGTGAATTAAGGACAATGGAACTGTTTTATGACAGAGGAACTTGCCATCAACTAAGTAGCATTCACTAGACAAGGGACATAGGTTCCAAAACCCAGTGAATTGAGAGAGGCTGAAATACCAATTGCACCTTCTCCTCTCTCCACTGTGGAATATCAGAGCTAATTTTGATTCTATTAGGAGTCTATTTACAGGCTGCTGAGCTGAATTCACTTTGGGCCAAGGGTGCACTAGCATTGAGGTTCCCCTACTACAAGCTGAAATCACTTAAAAGCTGAAATCACTGAGTGCGGGGGGGCTGAAGATATGTTGCTGAGTAGCTGGTGGAGCAGAGCAGTTCACAGGACGGCTGGAGTGGCTCATGGGACAGCTGGTGGAGTGCAGCGGCTGGTGGAGCAGAGCAGTTCGTGGAATGGCTGGAATGGCTCATGGGACCGCTGGTGGAGCGGAGCGGCTTGCAGTGAAGGCTGCAGCAGAACCCCACAGAGAGGCAGGGCAGTTGGCCTTGGACCACATAAGGTGCCCCTTAACACCCCTGTTCCCGCCCCCTCTCCCCCCCCCCCCCAGGGTAAAACTTTGCAGATAAACTTTTGAACTCTTGGGCTGCACTGACCAGGGACAGAGACTTTTGGATTGTTGGACTTTTGGGTGATTTTTGGGTTGCTGGACTTAGACCCTGATGGGAAAAGGACACTGCCAAACTTACTTGGGGGTGGGGTCTTTTGCTATGAATCCTGTTTGTGGTGTATCCCCAACATAATGCCACATTTTTCCCTCCTTTATTAAAAGGATTTTGCTACACTCAGACTCCGTGCTTGCAAGAGGGGAAGTATTGCCTCTTAGAGGTGCCCGGGGGGGGAGGGGGGGTGGTATGTAATTGTGCCAGGTCACTGGGTGGGGGCTTGAGCTGGTTTTGCATTGTGTTATTGAAACGGAGCCCCTAGATTCTGAACCCGGCCCTTGTTGCTGCCAACTCAGACAGGCAAAAGGGTTACATATGCAGTTTCACAACCAAATGTGAAATATTCCTTTTGCTGAATGTTTGGTTTGCTGTGAAAGCTCTGCACAGCTCTAGTGAGACTTTGTCTCCAGCCCAATGCAGCACCTGGAATTTAACCTTTCGGCCACGCACCAGGTGTGGGTGATTCCTAGAAACTGCCTGTGCTCAGTGGGCTGGGATATTTTGATTGGTTCCTCAGTGTCCTATTTCTGACACATGCTACCAAGGTTGATGGGGTGAACTGCATAGTTACATATATTTTTGTAAGCAATTATCAGCCAAGCCCTTCACTTTAAAGAAGGGAAGATAAATCATGAGACCATTGCAATTGCCTTTCCACCTACAGAGCTATCCTAAATTAGCATCCAGTGCCCAGATACTGTAGCGATGGGTAGATTATAAATACCTACATACATAACTCCTTCAGTCTATAATTTATTTCACTTAATCAAGGAATGACTGGTGGAGATGGCAAAGTATAAAATGCTTTTATGGAATGGCAAGAAGAGCCCGAGAATAGCAGTCATCACAAAACTGGTAATGACCTCATGATCAGAGATGCAGGTAATACCTTGCCCACAGCAAGAGAAGCTGCAGACAACGTGGTAACCCGGAGGGGTGCTCCAACGCTTGGTGAAATCCTCTGAGCCCTAAGAAGAATGTGGGCTTAACTGAATACCTGTGTTACTTATTTACAGATCAGACAAGATCTTGAGGGAAACTTTTTTTTTTAATTGAAATCTACAAAATGTCTGCCTGCATCAATTCTGGCTGAAAGACTTGCTATTAAAGGAGGCAAGTATCTAAAATCACTCATACTTTAGGTTTCATTTCAAGATGGTTACAACACAATTGTTTGACTAGTCACATTGCAGGTGTCAACTGGCATACAGTACAGGCCCTAGTTGTGGCCTATTTCTCTCCATGATTCTTAGGTTATAAAATTCAAATCTGGCCACGCAAGGCTGTCCCTGGCATCAGCAACCTGTAAGGAGCACTTTATTGTTACTATTTATACTGTGGTAGTGCTTAGAAGCCCTGATCAGGGACAAGCAGAACAAAGATAATCCCTGCCCCACAGAGAAGTTGTCAGTCACTCATGCTCTGCCTTTCCACAGCCAGCCCTGGGAAACAGCCCATCACTGCATCTCTTTGGTTTTTATGTTAAAACAAAACTGTAAGCACCCATTCAAGGCACTTCTAGACATACTGTGTACCCAGGGCCGGCTCCAGGCACCAGCTTGGCAAGCAGGTGCTTGGGGTGGCCACTCCGGAGAGGGGCAGTAGGTCCAGCTATTTGGCGG